ATATTCCTCCACTTGCAAAATTTATCTGAAATTTTTGGTAGCTCTAATTGAATTCAACATAGCTTCTTTATGATTTACTTTATATTTAGACTGTGGGCAAATATTGGGTTTTGTGGTTGAATGAACCACAGGTATAGAATAGAATAAATACAGCCATGTCTCAGGTTCTTCTAAGTGGAGAATTTTTTTGTATATGACATTTAAATATTTTTTATCTATTTTATAAGTAAGTGGTTTACCTTTTAATCAATGTTATGATACCTTATGTTATAGGAATTAAATCAAATGCTCTCAGAAACACCACCAGTTTGGAAAGGATCATCAAAGCTTTTTCGTAATCTTAAAGAAAAAGGTAAGTTAACTTTAGTACTTATGCATTTTAAAATGGACACTGTATTATTTATACTCTTTATATATATTTTTCCTTATACTTAAAATAATATAACAAGTTACTTATATGTGCAGATGTGTGTGTGCATAGAGAAAAAACTGAAAAGAGAAATACCAAAATATTAATGATTGTTTCTGGGTAGCGGGATTAAAAGTGTTTCTTATTTTTAAATATATTATTCATGTCTTTCAAAATTTTTAGAAGAAAATGAACTTTTATGGCATAAAAAATTATTTTCCAACCATATTGAGTAGTGAGGGTTATATTTAATTATAGAAAGCATTTTTCAAAAATATTGATCTCCAACTATTTTTCTTCCATTTTACTTCCAGAAGATTATAGATTTTTTAAAAATTTAATAATCACTGTGAAGAACTTATTGGATATGTCTTTTGGTCACCCAATTTGAACATGTTTCTTTTAAAACAACACTCGTTGCAAAACCTACCTTTCAACCTACTATATGATCTATATCTATGTATCTAAGCTAAGTTGTTATAAATTCATACATTTCCTCGCAATCAAATTATATAGTTTTTATTGCCATTTTCTTTTACACTTAACTTTTGGTACATATTTATAGAAAAGACTAATTAATAAAATCTCTTTAATCTTAAAAAGGAATTTTTCTTGTAAATATACTTTTTTATATTTTCAAATATAAGAGTATATGAAATAAAAATATTAAAGAAATTATATAAACAGTTACCTTTTTCATTTTCATCAATTTTGACAGATATTGGTTTGAAAATAATTATACTCTAGCATGAAGACAAATATTTTAAAGGATAATTATAATCCATGTATTTTATCTGAGTGGAATTAGAAATTCCAATTGCTTCCACCTGGTTCAAATGGAATCTGAAAGGGGTAGACACCTTACCTTTCATCGTAGGCTTTGCATAATTAGGGTTTTAAAATCTTTGCGAAATCAGGGCCATGGTATATTTAAAGCTCTTAGAAATTTTTTCCTGGAAATTGTCTTAAAGATTGTCATTCAAATCTAGGGTGGGATGATAGGATTAGGAAAAATCAAAGCTCAGAAAGATAAGTTAGCAAATATAAAAATATTTACTTTTAATACCTCTCATGGGAAAATACAAATTGGATCGAGTATCATCTGAGAAAAACAAATGCATGGAAAAAGGAAATTCTTTGTGGTCATAGAAGGGGTTGAATCTGGAAGCCCTGGGTTTAGGCTTGTCCTAATCTTTATGTTACATGAATATTTGCAAATTTTGGGGGGGAAATGATCTATTCAGTGCTATCCCAGAGAATTATCTATAGTGATGGAAATGTTCTATTTCTGTGTTGTCTCCCATAGTAGCTACTAGTCAGATGCAGGCTTTTAAAAAGCACCTGAAATGTGGCTCCTGTAACAGAGGAACTGAATTTTTTATTGTATTTAATTTTATTTATTTTAAATTTAAGTAGCCACATGTGACCAATGGCTACCCTGTAGGATAGTGCAGAGCTATGTCATGGTGATTGGATTATCGAAGGAATCCATGTACACAAAAAGTTTTAGAACCATTAGGTTAGGTTAGGCGAAGTAGAATGTCCCAGAGAGCCTTGCTTTTTTATAAATTGGTTTAAGTGGCAAAGGAATTTTAAAGCTAAATCTTGAGAGCTATTGAAGATTAATTTACAGTTGTATTTTATCTGCTTAAAGTATTACCCCCGCAAGAAAATGTTATGCAGTTTTACAAAAAATTGTTATGCAACATTTATGAAAACATGTATTTCAGACTTAGTTATAACAGCCAGCTGTGTAATGTATCATGATATAGGAAATAAACAGTATAATGTTTTTAAGGAACTTCCCTTAGAACTTTTTTATTGAATTTTCAAAAGAAATGTAGTTGACATCTTTCTTACCCTCTTTTTTTATATGCTTAGCATATGTATTTTTATTTTATTTTTTGATTTTGGGTAGCCTTAAAATAAATTAAAAGGTGAGTCTAATAGTTTTACATTTTTGTAATTGGAAAGCATTAAGAATCTACAGTTCATGTTGAGTAGTATTTTCTTTCATTGATCATTTTTATTAAATTATATCATAAATTTCACTTTGTTCTTGTTTGTGGATTACACCACCTCAAAAACCATTTGGTCCTACAAACAAGTACCTACCATGATAATTATGATTAGTACTCTCACTGCTAATTGTTCACTGAGGGAAATCTTGAGTTAATTATCAAATAAAAGATGTAGTTATTAAACTTCTTTATATCAACCAACATCTCTTGTGTGTTCCACCAGGTCAATTAGAACAACAGTCAGTGATGATGGGATTGTAGAGACATAGAGTCCATTTCCCAATCCCATTCCCCTTTTTTCCTTTTCTTTCTTCCTTTCTTTCTTTCTTTCTTTCTTTCTTTCTTTCTTTCTTTCTTTCTTTCTCTTTCTTTCTTTCCTTCTCTCTCTCTCTCTCTTTTTCTTTCTCTCTCTCTCTCTTTCTATGAGGGATCCCTATGGAATCTAGGTATTGTATCTTTTATATACATTGACCATTCCAGAATCTTTCTCCCATAACATTCATGGCAGTCAACCAGAACTATCTATCTATAGGTCACAATATTGTAGTATAAACAAAAGAAGGGAATGCTTTCAGGGCCTCCAGCTAGTTCCCTTCAAGTTTTCTGACAAACTGCCTGACAGTGACTTCTCTTCTCTTTGTTCTGTAACAAAGAGCGGAGCCTCAAAGAACATCAGGTAAAATGGACTTTCAAGGTTCACAATCTGATTATTTAAGGATTTTTGTATACCCTTTTACTGAACATTTGGACTATCTGATATCTGTGGAGAAGTGTTACTGACTTATTTCTGATTTTAATTTTCTCAGGATCTACCTAGAAGCTCAATTAAGCGTTAGTTAGTTTGTAAGCAGGAATATCTAAATGTTTTTTTCAAGAGTTATTTGTTATTTTTTTCAAGAGTTATTAAGAAGTAATTAAGCACTTTACAGTTTAACCATTTCCAACCTTTTTATTTTATGTTAGTTCATCCATTGAAAACTAGCAACAAGTTTAAAGTTATAGTTATAAATAAACAATATAATTTTGCTTTCTTGGCCAATATATCTAGGAGTATTAATGGGAATTTTGCATGAGTTTCCACAGAAGCATTGTGAAACAAATTAAAATTAATTTTGTTGTTTCTTTTGCCGTGATTTTTAATAGTTTAGTCTTGTTTAAAACAATACTTAGCTTGTTCTTTAAAACAGTAAGTTCCTTATTAATATTACTTATTACTGTAAGAATAATATTTTGCTTGATAAAGTAATACTTTATATATAGCATTACTAATACTATTTTTCTTCTAGGTGTGATTTCTTACACAGAATATCTTTTTCTTTTATGTATTTTAACAAGTAAGTGTACTCATTGAGTCTACTTTTGGATACAGTTTTGTTTTTAAATCAGAATCTTGGAAAACAAATCTTAGATTCTTTTACTATTGAAAATCACTTTAGGTTTATCTATGGTTATTTTGCAAATTTCATGTCTAAATGTTATCAGCAAATAGCACTATCAAGAGTCAAAGACATAAATGTTTTTATGACATATGGTATAGGAATAAAGTGCTCATAAATTATAAATTTTATATCATACATCATTCCTTTTGGTTTACATGAAAGCCTAAAAGTCAGGTCATGTAGGGATTTGTAAATTTCCTGCTACACTCATTGAAATCTTAAGTTTCTTAAGACTAGTGTGAAAGAATGAGTTTTCTAACTGTGAGTGTATCAGAATACCCATTATACATACTAAAACAGCTTTGTTATTCTCTGCCTCTCATATGCAGCAATTTTTATGAAATATAGGAAGGGCTTACTAATGATTTCAGTTAAATTTCATTGCATTTAATGCAGGAACTTACCTGCTATTGTTCACTGTGCTCCAGCCACCTGGCATTTCTGTTCCTTGAATTCTCACCTCAGGAATTTGTACTTTCTGCTCCCTCTGCTGTCAGTGCTTTGTCCTCAAGATCCTCATGATAATAAACATTATTCAGTTTTCGTTTGAATGTGAAATGTGAACGCTTCTTGACTATCCTCCCTAAAATAGCTCCCTCTCTTACCTCTCCCTTTTTATCCGTTTACCATGTTTTATTTTCTTCATAGCACTTAAAACTACTTGAAAGTATTTGTTTATTGGTTTGTATGTTTTCGTCTCCCCATACTTGAATGCAAGGTCCATGATGGCAGAGATTTTCTCTTTTTTGTCCATTTCTGGACAGTGTCTAGCACATGGTAGCCTCTCAAAAACTAGGTGAATGAGTGAAAAAAAAGAATAAATGAAAGAATATCGCTAGAGGGATTTCTGTTTGTGGGGATTTGTAGAGATGTCTGGAAATACGAATTATCAGTGAAACTCTGTCATTAGAAACAAGTCATAAAATTCCTTGTACTTCTATGATTAGAAAAATCAGAGCCATTATGTTATTCTGAATTTAGTAATGAATGATGTTATGTTGGAGTTCTGTCGCAGGAAGTTTGGGGGATGTACATGTGTGCATATGAATTTTGAAAATTATCATCCTTTATTTTTTCTTGTATTTTTTTTCCTCCTGGACTCAAAATGAAATTAAAATGTTGGTGCTGAAGAACAAGAAGTGTTGTGCAGTTAGTAATACAACTATCTGAGGTTGTTCCACACTGGAAGCCATTATGATTCAAGTCTAGTCAATGATGAATACTCCATGAAAACTAGAGGAGTACCAAGGATATCTCAGAGACTTGTGAAAAAGTTATATTGTTAGCTATAGAACAACTTTGGTTACAAAACTGTTAAGTCTGAAATACCTAAACTGGCAGAGTGACAGGCAAGAATATAATAGAACTGGTTAGGAAAGCCACTTGTTGAGATGGGACAGGGTATGGATAAGAGTGTAGGAAAAAAACATACGGTGGTTTTGCTTACATGGAAAGGTTAGGATCTTTGGATGCAGTGAATCTTCCTTTGGAGTTCAGAACCTATTTTAGAAACTTCTGGGAATTTGAATTGAAAACTTTTGGATGTTTTTTAGATTAGAACCAAGAGAAATGTGAAAACAGAGCTGGCAGAAAGTGGGCTAGAGAATTCACCTTACCTGTCTATGATTCTTTCCTCTTTGCTATTTATTATTTTAACCTCATTTTCCCTTCCAAACAGTGAGGACTTCTTTTCATTGTGTATTTTCAAGATCATTTTAACTTAAAACTTGGTTATTAGAGATAATGAAATTTTTTATTTCTTTCTTAACTGAATGCTAATGAAAGTAAGTTTCAATTCCTAAACTATATGCCAGAAATGAGCCTGCATATAAGACTGGCTTCTGTTTCCATTTTCAGAGACAGCTATTGCCAGTTAAGAAAGTAAGGTTACATGCTTCTCTTTTGCTAGTTTCAAGATTTTACAGCAGGTAATGCCAAATATATCTGTGGGAGGCCCCTTTTAAAAACTTTTTGCCAGTCATCTCAAAAGAAGGGGTCAGAGGGACGCCTAGGTAGATCAGTCCGTTAAGCTAATGACCCTTGGTTTTGGCTCAGGTCATGATCTCAGGGTCTTGAGATCCAGCCCCACAGCAGGCTCTGCGTTCAATGTGGAGTCTGCTTGAGATTCTCCCTCTCGCTCCCCCTCTACCACTCCACCCCTCACGCGACTGCGTGTGCCTGTGTGTGCTCTCTAAAATAAATGAATGGATGAAATCTTAAAAAAAGAAAGGGTCAGATGTTTCACAAAGGCATGTGCACTGAGCTTCTCTTTGAAGGATATGTAAGTTTTCTTCTGTGGGAGGTTTTCTTCTTTATGCTTTAGAAGATAAATGGATTGAACCTCATTATAAGGTTCATAAAATTAAACAGTTCTTAGTGTTTACAAGTGCGTCTTTCTCAGAAAAGCAATTGTTCCTTGTATTTTGGGGAAATTGAGAATTATCCAAGCCTCTTTTATTTTATATGTCTCCTTTTGAAGCTTCTGAAAGTTTAAACCCACTATGTAATCTCTTGTGCTTGACATTTATTTTCATAGGTCATTTCCATTCTGATTTTCCTAAGAATCAGGATTGGTCCATTGTGTCATATTTTTTTTCTTGTGTTCTAAATATTGAACATATGTGATGATTTGCTATTTCCCTCTGAAACTGACAAACTTGGGATAACAAAAAGAAGTACTTCTTTTTGGAAGTTAAGGTGGTTAAATTATGCTGCCTGTGTTGCACAGCAGGTATCAGACAAATACTTTTAAAGTGTATTATCAATTTTGTTGCTAAGAGTGCTAATACATGAAACAGAAATATGTATACATATGTAGCTTTTACTATATTTCATTAATAGTAACCTGCTTTTAATTTCTTGGTGAAAGAAAGTATTTTTGTACAGAGTATACTTAACTATTCACAACTGCACTTTAAAAACATTTTTCCATTTCACAAGTGCTTTTCTGTTCTTTCTGGCAGAGCCACATGCAGGTTTTAGAATAGCTTTCAACATGTTTGACACTGATGGCAATGAGATGGTGGATAAAAAGGAGTTTTTAGTGGTATGTATATTATATGCTGCATTTTATCAATAAATATTGCTTATTTACATCCTTATGTTTTTGCATTATTTGGAACAACGTAGAAGGAAGAGTGAAAAATTTATGCTTTCACCTTAATTTAATGAAGAAGTACAGCGTTGTGTACTTTAAATAATTTTTATATTATAAAAATATAAATTGTATTCATTATATAAAGATGATTATAGTTGTTTACATGTTTTCTGAACATTTGAGATGAGTTAAATATTTTCCACCGGGTGGATAACAGGCAGTTCAGAGGTGTGGTATATGCTCGGTTATGCTCAGACCCCATCGTATCAGCCCCCAGCCACAGCTCTGTGCCACCGGAACTTCCCTTCCTTCTCATGATAGGACCTGTGATTTTTTTTTCTGCTTTTCTCTTCCACTCATGACTGCCTTATATTCCAGTCTTGTCCCCATTTTGCTATTCCTTTCTCTTGTCTTTGAACAAGGGCTGATCTAAAATGGGGAGAATAAGATTGTTCTTAGGTATCTGCCTTCAGTCTTTCTCACCTGACTGATGCAGCTTGATGCTGATTTGGCAACATCATCAGCTGCTCACTCATCTTGCCACTCCCCTTTCCAGAATTTTCCTATTTCTTTTTACCCATGGATCCTGCATCTGCTTCGGTGGCAAAATGCCTATTCTATTTTTTTTCTCCAAAGTAGAGATCCTTACAGTAACAAGTTCTACCCTTAACATTTATGTTCAATTCTGTATTTACCTATAATTCCTAGCTAAAAGAAAAGGGAGAGATGGCATATAAATAGCCATTTTATTTTCTATTTTCTTTTGTAACAAGCCATTAAAAATCCCTCAGAAAACCTCTTAAACAGCTTAGTATTTTCCTCAGAGGCTGGAACATGGAAGAGAAACTATGAAATCATTGTTTTCTGTGGTAGAAAAGGGAAGAGATAAAAATCCTTGTCATAATCAGTAGCCATTCAAAAGGAAGCAAGCAGACTAATTACTGGGATCTGTCAGATGACTTACTCTAACACCCATGTAGCCCTTGCCTGGGGACAGTCCCTGAGTCACACCATTGGAACCTGGAACCATGAAGGACCCCTCATTTGAGTGCTTTTCAGGATGCCATGGGGAGGTGAGAGTTTTCAGTTTCACTGCAAAGATAGACATATGTTCCTAACACCCTAAAATAAACAGATTTAGTTTAATATAGTTTTGTTATGATAGCATAAAACTGTCTTTTAGGACTTTCAGAATGGGCCTAGTATTCTAAATAATTTTTAATAAATTTTCTGTGGCAACACTGCCAAGTTCTACCCCATCGACTAAAAGAGTACCTTTAGGAACTCAGTGCATTGAAAGGTGTCTCTATAGATGTCCTTTGGAATATTGTCTGTTTGTGGGGATGGGAGGTAAAAACGTTCACGTACAACTTGTTTCCCCTCTCTACTCTTTGCAGTGGCTGTCCTGCTGCCTCATAAGTGATGTTTTTTGTTTGTTGTTTTTATTTGTTTGTAAACAGCAAAGAATTCCTGAAAGCAGGAGGTAGAGTTAAGCTGACTTCCTTGTAGAGGTCTAAAACCTATGATTCTCCTGCCTACTTAAAAAATGATTATTAATAACCCTTGCTAAAAACTCTTTTCACTAAGAAAAAGTGTGAAAATAAATGTATTTGTTAAAAAATCATTCAGATTCTATACTGTATTTGTGTTATCACATATCTTGGGAGGTGATACGTTTTATTTGACTTTCAACTATTGCCGTACAAAATGAAATGAAGAGTTAAGATAGCTGTTCCAGTTACAAAGCCACAAACAGTGACCTCCCCAGAAAGCTGTGATAGAGGTAGGACTAGGCTTCCATTTGTAAAATAGGATTTTAAAGAGGTGATAATAGAGCTGACATTTCTTGAGAGGTTATTATGTGACAGGCAATGTGCTGAGTAACTATCTGTAATATTTCCTTTGCACAGCATTCTTACAAGACCTGGTGATTGTACCTCAATGTAGCTGGAGGAAAAAAAAATATTCCTCTAAAGTAAGGAATTATCTACATGTTCTGGAAATGGAAAACAATCCCTCAAATAATTAGAGTAACTTGTCCAAGGGGTTGTACGCAGAGCCCACAATGTACAATTACCTGAAAGGGACTTTAGGGGGCGTCCTCATTTCACATATGAGTAAATTGGAGCCTCGTGAGGGATATGTGACCTTGTCCACCATCACAAAATTAGTATGTGACAGAAGATGGGCTCACACCCAGAGTCCCTGAATTCTATTCCAGTGTTATTTCTACCCCAGTTGGCTTCATCTCTTTTGTGTGTCACAAATTCCCTGTCTTTATGTCTTAGAGATAAAGTAAAGCTATAATTTTGTACATTTAACTGAACCATAGGCTGCTGATGGCAAAGGGTGTGTTTTTTTTTCTCAGGAAAAAAAAATTGGTATCAGAAAATGTATCTATAGTAGTTTTAATGTTCTTGTAGATGAAGCTAATTCTTTGTTTTTAGAATATACCTAGCACAGAGTGGTAACTAGGTACCCAGAAACTCACTGGATATTTGATTCTTGATCACTTTCTCTTTCAGCTTCAAGAGATATTCAGGAAAAAAAATGAAAAGAGAGAAACAAAAGGAGATGAAGAAAAGCGTGCAGTGCTGGTAAGAATAATTTATAGTAGTTTAAGGTGGGTTTTCTAGCTGAGAATTATTCATGTTGAAAAACAATAATTAAAGTCTGTAACTGTGGAGCTGTCCCTTTTGGGAAAACTTTCTGAAGTTCTTACCTAGAAAATTTGCTTCAGATTTATATGCATCTCTATCAATATTATATCAAATATTGATATTAAACATGTGTGTCCATAATCCCACTCATTATATCATTTTCATCCATATTGTTGTTATCCATGAGATTTGAAGGGTACATCATATAATAGATGAATACAGATCATTATGCATGAAAAAACTTAAAGGTGAATTGCAAAGATTTAATTATACATGTGAGTGAATTTAGTGGCACTAAATTTGACTCATGTTTTCAACTTATTCTGAAGGTAGAGTTAAGCAACATTTCCCTCCATTTTCCTACCAGTTTTCTTTTTGTTTATCCCACATATTTCAGTCTGAGAGTATCCCAGGTTCATATAATAAAAATAACAAACATGTTCTGAGATCTTACTATCAGGGACTGTAGTAGATGCTTTGCATGCATTTTCTCATTTAATCTGCTAATAGTTCTCTTATTATCTGTAATTATGTCAAAGCCAAGATTGGAGTCCATGGCTGGGCAGCTCCCAAACTGTACTTTTACCCACTATAGCATATTTTTTCATCTGGTACTTAGCAGAAACACAGTTCTGTTGAGATGTAAATGATAACTGTTTCCTTTGCAAATTAGTGACCCTGTGCAGTAGTTTAGTTGGTCTACCTGGAATTCAAATAATTAACCTCAGGGAGTTGCAACTTTTTTTTTATGATTTTCATTGTTATAAGGATATGTATTATGTTTTTTAAAAACATGGATTATCTGTAGCAGATGGTGCCGTATTCAATCCCAATAGATTAAGTTTGTATTTATATTTAATAAAATCAGATTATCAGGATATGAAATACCTATTATTTCATAGTATATTTGACTATAATTATCAATATTTGTTGAACCACCCTCAATATTCTAATTGGCAAAGCTTATGGAAGACACTGTTAAAAAATCAAAGAGCTGATATAATGTTAGCCAGGAATTAAAAGGGGCATTATGAATTCTCTAATTCAGGTCTCATGGTTTTTAAATTATAATCTATAAATCCCATAGGAATTAGCCCCATAAATGCCATTTTTTAGAATATTAGCAAATAACACTAGAGAATTAAATACCTTCATAAATTTTATTTTCTGTAGATAACATTGAAAGAGTAAGCAATTGTTTTAATTTTGATGGATTAACTATACTTAACTGGATAGCCAAGTTGTTAATAAAATATCATTTAGGAGGTTGAACTATGTTAATTAATCTTTTGAGATACCTCAGTGATAGAATAGATCATATTTCAATGGATATAAATTTGTGTTTTTTTAATTTGAGCATAATTGAAACACGTGGTATTTACATTAGTTTCAGAAATTTAACTGTTTTATTTATTTGTTTATTTATACTACTTCCAGAAAGGACCCGTGGATCTTCCAAGAAAAACACAATACTATTTTAATCATTAACATTTACTAAAATACGTAAGTCAAATAACAAAGGGTGAGAGGAAAGGGAGAAATGATAGCAGACAACCCACATTGGGAAAAGTTAGTGTCAGCACAAAGCTTGGCTCTGAGCTTTATTGCAGCCCGAGTAAAGTAAAGTTAATGCTGATTTAATGCAAATAGCTCATAATAATGATATAATAAAACCTCATTAACTTGGACTAATTAGGGAAAGTCTATCTGAATTATGAAACTTAAATTATATCAGCATACCCTAAATTGTATAATTTTATATGCGTACAGGTCAGTGAAGCATTCTCTAGCAAATATATGGAGAAGGAGACTTGTTTTAAAGAATAGATAAAAAGAATTTATAAGTAATATACTGTATAACTTGCTTATATGTAAAGAAATGCCTACTAGAGTCATTGATCTACACAGGTACCTCGTAGGTATTTATCTTACAGAGTTTAATTAGTGCTCCTGAAATTTATTTACATAATTTAGCGATCAAAACTATTCCTTAAAACAATTCAGAAATAAACTTTAGTACAGCCTCTGAACTAAATAAATAGCATTCTAAGACAGTATAGCTCTCTACAAATGTTTGTTACTGTGTTTAACAATAATGATGATTAGTGGTAACTTACTATTAATTGTTGCCACATTTTAAATAATGCAAATCTGAACTGATGAGATTTTTGAGTTTTTAAGCCATTGAAATTTAGTGTGTAGTGAAAATATATCAATTACATTAGGGAGACAGTATAACACAGGCTTAGGAGTCATTTATTATCTGGGTGACCTTGAACAGGTCCTTAAGCTGCCTGTGCCTCAGTTTCTTCATTTGTACAATGGGGATAAGAGTAGTAATGACCACATGTGATTGTTATGGAGATTAAAGGAGCTAAAACATGTAGCCACTTAATAGCATATGCTTCAGAAGGAAAGAAGGGAACATAACATTTCTTGAGACACTCTGTGCTATATCCATTATAAATGTTACGCCCATTTAGTCATCATTACATTTCTGCCAGGTAAGTATCATACCATTTACAGATGAGAAAGCCATCTTAGAGAGGTTCATTAACTTGCCTAAGATCACAGCACTAAAAAGAACAGAACAAGATTCCGCTGCAGATCTCTCATACCATTTCCACTGCCATGCTCATCTATCTAGATTGTTCCCCTAACCCATACAGAATTGCTGAAGCATGTCTAAATAAAACCATGTACTTCAGAGGAATGTTTTACTCAAAGCAGTAGCTGATCAGAAAGTTAAAATGAAAATGGTTGAAATGAGCACAGATTCATTTAATATTTAATTATATGAGATTTGAAAAACTTTGCTACTCATCTTTAACATTTATCCCACTTGTATTGTGTGTGTGCTCTATATAGAATGTAGCATAATGATTTGCCCTTCCTAATTGATTATTTTGTCGTCTTTTTCTTTTTTTCTTTTGCTATACTTGGGTTCATTCTGAAATGTGACACTTCATTTGGCCCTTTGTGCTCTATGTCAGCGTCTTCAACTTTATGGATACCATTCTCCTACTAATAGTGTATGTACAATACTTTAAATGTTCTTTATGTAAATAGCCCTCACCTGTTATACTTGATAATGTTATTTCTTTATATATAGCTATATCTGCTATTGAGAATGTTTAGGAATTTATTGAATATAATAAGGTGCAGCCAAGCCAAAATTTTCTATTTCCTTCTTAGATTTATGAGAAGACTAAAATTTACAGCGCCACTGTATATCTTTAACCTTAGATTAAACTAAGGAAAATCTGAGTGAACAACCACCAAAAGCTCTGGTAAAATAATGAAAATTTTATATTTTTCAGCAGTGTTTGAAGAGTTAAATACAATTTATGGAGCAGATTCTCAGGCTATGCTCCTGCAGAACACAGGTATTTTAAGAACTAGATCTCTCCATCTGATACAGTCTTTTCTCAACTCTAATAAAGAGAATATTAATAGATAGACTTTTCTTAGTCATTAGTATTTTTGCAAAATTTTTCTAAAACTTTTGATGCCTGCCTACTGCCTGTGGTCTATACAAAAGCCTGGTATGATACCTGATATATTTAATATATCAATGTATCATGTTATTTCTCAAAGAGGATTATGATTTTCAGACTCTTCTTTTCTTGAAAAAGTTGAGAATTCCTGCAAATACCTTCCAGATATTCTTATGCTAAGCTTTTCTTCTTTCCTTCCTCCTAGAAAGTCAGAGCTTGTTGGTTAGCCCAGCTCCTAAACAACTGAGAATAGGCCATGGCCCCTTTTGAATGTAAACATGCACAGTTCATTGAATTTCCCCAACGATCCTTAAGTCACTTGGAAGGATCTTTCAAATTATCCCCCTGAGAGGAGCCCTTCAATTCAGGTTACCTGACTAAGTATCCTGCTTGAAAGTGTTACAGTCGTAAGTGTGCAACTGTAAAGCAGGTGTGCTGTCTCCTGTGTTGGAGAGTTGATCAAAATTCCATACTATAAAAATTAACTCTGTTCTAGATTTGAACATATATTGGAGGATGATTCAGCATAAAATAAACCCAAGGTATCTTGCTTCAGTCACAAGGAATGGACCTAGAACAGGTTGGAGAATAAGCCAAGTCCATGGGACCCTTATGACTAATTGTTTTGATAACTCACAAGTACTTTAAATTTTTACTACAAAATTCACTACTGTTTCCAGTAAATAAAGTCTGCCATTTTCTTAAAAATTTTAATGTTCCTCTAGTAATCATTTCAAAAATTTGTAAGAATGTATAAAATGAAAATCTCATAGATTATAATGCCATATGCCATTTGAAACTTAATAAATGTTAATAATATTTGTGACTTTAACTTATTCTTCTAATCTCATGTGTCATTGCATGAGCCATTTTTCCAACTGTGACATTTTACATTTTTCCTTTAAACTCAAATAATTTTCATATAGATGATGATGTGGTTTTTAAAAATATACATAAAAGTATAAAAATATACATAAAAGTACTATCATTAAAAGGAAACAGGTACTAACATAGCTCTAGTTTAAGTTACATATAGAAATTGCAGTAATTCAGAGAATAAGAGAATGATATTAAGAGGCCGATTTAAGGGGCGCCTGGGTGGCTCAGCCGGTTAAGCGGCTGCCTTCGGCTCAGGTCATGATCCCAGGGTCCTGGGATCGAGCCCCACATCTGGCTCCCTGCTCAGCGGGGAGCCTGCTTCTCCCTCTCCCTCTGCCTGCCTATCTGCCTACTTGTTCTCTCTCTCTCTGTCAAATAAATAAATAAAATCTAAAAAAAAAAAAGCCGATTTAAATTGCCTATTTTGCTTATATTATGCTTGCTTATTTAATAGTAAAGTAAATATATGATTTTACATTTTATTGTGGTAGTATTTTTTTTATTATTTAACTGAAGACATTTTTTCCATCTAAGAATATAAAATACATTTTTTTTAAAGATTTTATTTATTTATTTGACAGAGAGAGACACAGCGAGAAAGGGAACACAAGCAGGGGGAGTGGGAGAGGGAGAAGCAGGCGTCCAGCGGAGCAGGGAGCCCGATGCGGGACTTGATCCCAGGAGCCTGGGATCATGACCTGGGCTGAAGGCAGACGCCTAACGACTGAGCCACCCAGGTCCCCCTAACCTTTTTTAAAGGCTATAAATGTATGGAACAATGCTAGACCAATTCTCAGGTTGGCTTGAATTAACTAGCAGTTATGTGCTAGTTTCCAAAATTGTAGATCAACTGGAGTGCCAAAGTATCTAATGTGAGTGCAGTTCGTGGAGCTGAATATAACCTAAGATTCTACCTTTAGGAAGAAGTTCCTTCAGGAAAGGCAGGGACCCTCCTGACTTTGACTATAGAGAGATTCTGTGGCCTCTGTTAATAACCTGTTAGAAAATTTAATCACTCTTACAGTAGATTCTGCCTGTATTATGTCAAATTATTTCCTGCTACAGTGTAAGGTTGAGCATTCTCCTTCATATCCATGAAAATAGTTACCTTGTAGCCTTTTCTGTTCTGAATAACCATGATTCTTTCCATATTTCTCATATATTCAACTCTTGATTATCTTGCCACAGGAATGAAAACAAGTATTAAAAATTCAAAAGAATAAATAGTGCAAATCAAGTATATTTTACTTTGAAATGTCCTATATGGTTTTTTTAAGTTTTTTAAAGATTATTTTAATTGCCCTAATTCCATTGTAGTCAGAAGAATGCCAATTTTTGTACAGTTTTTGACATGTATTGAAACTTGTTTTATGGACTAAAACAATGTCTGTGTTTGAAAAGAATGTGTATTCTCCAACTAGGGTACAGAGTTGTATTATATATAAGACCAAACATGTTAATATGTGTTTTAAACCTCTATCATTATCAATATTTTTGTCAGCTTGATGTGTTCATTAGTATGTTAAATTATACTTACAGTGATAGACTTGTTAATTTTTACTTGTAATTGTTATTTTTAAATTTTATATATTTTGAAGCATTGTTACTCCCTGCTATAATAATATAGATTTCTTAAATCTTTTTAGTGAATTGAATCTTCTCTTATATACTATCCTTAGATCTCTAGAAATGTTTTTTGCCTAAAAATCAATATAGTTGTCAAAATAAATATACCAATTTTATTGTTACTAATATTTTGTATTATTTTCTATTTAGTTTTATTTTCTGTTCTTTAGTAATGAAACTTTCCCTCATTTTTAAAATACACTTTTTAGTTCAGAAATTTACTGCAAATAAAATGTAAATATAAAATTAATAATGAAAGTTTAGACCTCGTATAGATCAATAAATAAAACATTGCCATGACCCCAAATGCCCCTTCCTAGGTCTTTCTAATCATAATCCCTCCCTCTCCTCCAAAAGATAACCACAATCATGACTTTTATGTAAATCACGTCTTTGCTTTGTGGTTTTACCACCTACTTAATGCATCCTCAACAATATATTTTTTTTAAGATTTTATTTATTTATTTGAGAGAGAGAGAGAGTGAGCGAGAGAGAGCACAAGCCAGGGGGGAGAGGCAGAAGGAGAGGGAGAACGAGACTCCCCACTGAGCGGGGAGTCTGATGCGGGGCTCCATCCCAGGACCCCAGGATCATGACCTGAGCCGAAGGCAGATGCTTAACCAACTGAGCCACCCAGGCGCCCCAACAATATAGTTTAGTTTTACCCGTATTTGTGCTTCGTATGAATGGGATTATATTAAATGAGTTTTTCTGTTCTTGCTTCTTTGACACAACCATCATGATTGTCTGTTTCATCTGCACTGTTGTATCCAATCCTACTTCACTCACTTTTATTGCTGTAAGCAGCAGTTCTCAAACATTCTGGTCTCAGGATCCCTTTATTGAAAAGTTAGAGAGGACCCAAAAAAGCTTGTGTTTATGTTGGTTGTATCTGTATGTACCATGTTAGAAATTAAAACCGAGAAATTTAAAAGTATTTACCAACCCATTTAAAAATAATACACTCACAAGTTAAACATATTTTATGAAAAATAACTTAAAAAATATAGTGAGGAGGGTGGTATTTCACATTCTTTGGGAATCTCTATAATGTCTGGTTTAATAGAAGACAGCTGGTTTCTCATGGATGCTTATGCATTCAACCTGTTGCAGTATGTTATTTTGGCAACAAATACTACTAATTGTTTCCCTTGAAGTGACAGGCTCACTTGGTTCATTTTCAGAAAACTGCCCAAATACCAAATACCAAAGTCTGAATAACTATACTTTCTCTAGCCATTGTTCTTTCAAGTAAAAATGGCAGCTCTTGAAAGAAGTAACTAGTTCACCTTGCAACACAAACCTTTGCACAAAGGCTTTTTCTCAAGACAGGCATTGTACTTCAGAAGTGTTTTATGCATGCTTCTAGTTTCATCACACTGAAAATTAAAAAGGTGTGTGTTCCAAGATTAATTTAAAAAATTGTGTTTTATTCTTCAGCAAGTACATTCTTAAGTGAATTCTTTTTTTTTTTTTTTTAATATGAGTGTATGGAACTGAAGAATGTAATGACTTTGGTCTTTGTTGCCACTGCTGTCTTGTACTAAGACATCAGCAGTTTTACCCCCCATTGCTATCACACCATCATTCAACACAGTACCTGAGGCAAACAACATCTATACAGTGCTTTTAAGAAGATACAACTATTTTATATTTTTTCCAGCTTTTTCAGTTATTTTCAGTGAGAAGCTTGCTGCTGCTTACTAGCCTGCCATTAATAGAAACCTGGCGTATCTTCTTTGGTTTCTGTCCTTATATCTTGATAGGTCTTTTTTAAAAGCATATAATTTGTGTATGTTATTGGTTCTTTTTTATATGGGTTGATAATTTCTACTTTTTAATTTGACAGATTCAGTCAGTTTACATTACTGTGATTATTAATTTATTTGGATTTATTTTAGCCATTCTGTATACTCTTCTCCTTTCTTACCTTTCTTTTGAATTAACTAAGGTTTATTTTTACTCGTTTTATTTTCTTCTCTATTAGTTTAGAAGACACCATATTTCTATGTCTTGTATAGTTATTCTTGAAATTTTAATAATAAGTATACTTAAAATAATGAAGTCTTATTAGATAGGCCATATCTTCACCCCTTCCTTAAAAATAGTCTTAAAGTGCTTCGATGGCTTTCATTTCCCTCCTGGCATGGATACTTGAGGTTATACAGTGTTTGTTTTTCTTGTCTTTCTTTCTTTTTTTAATCCCACAAATTAGATTTCTTAAATATATACGATCAGTATTAGTTTAGAATTACTTACATATTTGCCATTTCTTTTTTTTTGTCTTTTTATTTTTTTTTTATTTTTTTTATTCTTATGTTAATCCCCATACATTACATCAATA